GATAGCCCATGGCGTGAACTGTTTATAGAGATAAGGGAAATGTCTGCATTGGATACACCTGATTAACCACTTACAAGAGGGTAAAGAACTCAGTGACTCTCTATGTACGATACTTTCAAACATTTGTGGAAAACTAAGGAATATAATGATATCGGTTGGTTGCTCCTAATGTCACTGGATAAAGTGATGAAAGAAAAGGATGAGCTCAGAGATTCAAATTCTAGGCTCAAGCAATGCATATGTGACCTAAGAGCTTCTAGGTGTATTCTGAGGGAGAATCTTATGTCCTGTAGCCACAGGGATAAAATTGCTAAAAACCAAACACAAAGTTTCATTATATAATTGAATTACAGTAAAAGTTGAACTCCCAGTCTTGCAGAGTATTTACTGTTAAAGTGAGAGCATTGATTGGGAAAGAATGGGATCCTATAAGTTCGGATGTGGACGTGTGGGAAGACTCTGATGAAGCTGGGGACATTGAGTTCCTAAATTTGGATGAGTCTTTTATGCCAGTGGAAGTTGCTTCTTCACCCCTAGCAGCAGTGGCATCCCAACCTTAATGTTGGCAGCCTTCCCCACCCACAGCAGCATCTGCCTTTCCACCTCTGTCTGAGGGGATTAACTTTGCACTGCCTGAGGAAATGGTAATGGCATTCCCTAAGGCAGTTGTCAAGCAAGACAATTCAGATTTTTCTCCGGAGCTATCCCCCACCACCCCTCTTTGTTTCTAGACTTATAACTAGACTGAAGCCCCAGCAGGCCCCTAAAGGTGAGGTACAAAGTGTGACCCATGAGGAGGTGCACTGCATTCCAAAAGAATCACTTGAAAAATTTCCAATTTATACAAGAAGAAATCTGGGGAACATGGGTTGGAATAGATATTGAGGGTTTGGTATAGTAATGGAAGGAACATAAAGTTGGATCAGAATGAATTTATTGATATTGACCTACTAAGAAGAGAGCCTTCATTTAATGTTGCAACTCAAGGAGTTAGGACTCTTAACAGTTTGGTTGTTTAGCTGAAAGATGGATCAAAAGATGACTCATGGTGTGTAAGGTGGAGATGCCTATTATCTCTTGATTTAACATACAGGAAGAACTTGAGAGGCTTAAGGAGATTGGAATGTAATTAGGGTAGATTTGCCATTTAAGACCTACTCACCCACTTTGGGAGAGTTCAGAAGACATAACCTTTGACAATACTTTAAGAAATAGATTTCCAAGTGGAGCCCCAACATCCTTGAAAAGCTCTGTGATTGTTCTTCTCTGTAGGCCAGACCTTGCAGTAGGAACCACAGTCACTCAATTGGTAAAATTAAATGTCGTGGGAGTAACTGGATCCCAGGGTAGCATGGGCCAAGTGGCAGCACTCAACTGCCAAAGGTGTGGTGAGCATAGTTATGGTGAACAGCAGAATCAGAGCAACCATCAGAATACTCTGACTTGTGTAGACTACAGCATTGGTCAATTAATCATGGTGCTCTTAGAAGTGAAATAGATGGGAAGCCTACTACATTCTTTTTTAAAATTATTTTTATTATTGTTACTATTTCAATAGTTTTTCGGGAACAAGTGGTGTTTGGTTACATGGATAAGTTCTTTAGGTGTGATTTCTGAGATTTTGGTGCACCCATCACCTGAGCAGCGTACACTGCCCCCAATGTGTAGTCTTGAATCCCTTACCTCTCACTTTTCCCGCCAAGTTTCCAGAGTCCATTATATCGTTTTATTTATTTATTTATTTATTTATTTATTTATTTATTTATTTATTTTTGAGACAGAGTCTTGCTCTGTCACCCAGGCTGGAGTGCAGTGGTACAGTCTTGGCTCACTGCAACCTCCACCTCCTGGGTTTAAGCAATTCTCCTGCCTCAGCCTCCCAAGCAGCTGGGATTACAGGCCTGTGCCACCATGCCTGGCTAATTTTTCATATTTTTAAAATAGAGACGGGGTTTCACCATGTTGGCCAGGCTGGTCTTGAACTCCTAACCTCAAGTCATCCACCTGCCTCACCCTCCCAAAGTGGTGGGATTACAGGTGTGAGCCACCACGCCTGGCCCATTATATCATTCTTATGCCTTTGCATCCCCATAGCTTAGCTTCCACTTGTAAGTGAGAACATATGATCTTTGGTTTTCCATTCCTGAGTTACTTGACTTAGAATAATTGTCTCCAACTCCATCCAGGTTGCTGCGAATGCCATTATTTCATTCCTTTTTATGACTGAGTAGTATTCCGTGGTATATATACCACATTTTCTTTATTCACTCGTTGGTTGATGAGCATTTAGGCTGGCGCCATATTTTTGCAATTGTGAATTGTTCTGCTGTAAACATGCATGTGCAAGTGTTTTTTTGTTTGTTTTTATATATAATGACTTATTTTCCTCTACCCAGAGGAAAAGTGGGATTGCTGGATCGAATGGTAGTTCTACTTTTAGTTCTTTAAGTAATCTCCATACTGTTTTCCACAGTGGCTGTACTAGTTTATATTACCACCAGCAGTGTAAAAGTTTTCCCTTTTTACCATATCTACATCAACATCTTTTTTAAAAAAATTTTTAATTATGGCCATTCTTGCAGGACTAAGGTGGTATTGAATTGTGGTTTTGATTTGAATTTATCTGATAATTAGTGATATTGAGCATTTTTTCATATATTTGTTGGCCATTTGTATATCTGCTTTAGAGAATTGTCTATTCCTGTCCTTAGCCCAATTTTTAATGGAATTATTTGTGTTTTTTTCTTGCTGATTTGTTTGAGTTCCTTGTAGATTCCGGACATTAATCCTTCGTCTAATGGTTGTATAGTTTGCAAATATTTTCTCCCACTCTGTGGGATGTCTGTTTTCTTTGCTGATTATTTCTTTTGCTGTGAAGTAGCCTTTTTTAGTTTAATTAAGTCCTATCTATTTATCTTTGTTTTTGTTGTGTTTGCTTTGGGGTTCTTGGTCATGAAGTATTTGCCTAAGCCAATGTCTAGAAAGATTTTTTTCAATGTTATTTTCTAGAATTTTTATGGTTTCAGGTCTTAGATTTAAGTCTTTGATCCATCTTGAGTTGAGTTTTGTATAAGGTGATAGATGAGAATCCAGTTTTATTCTTCTACATGTGGCTTGCCAATTATCTCAGAACCATTTGTTGAATGTGGAGATGTCCTTTCCCCACTTTATGTTTTTGTTTGCTTTGTCAAAGATCAGTTGGCTGTTAAGTATTTGGCTTTATTTCTGGGTTCTCTATTCTGTTCCATTGGTCCAAGTGCCTTTTTTTATGCCAGTACCATGCTGTTTTGGTAACTATAGCCTTATAGTATAGTTTGAAGTTGGGTAATGTGATCCCTCCAGATTTATTCTTTTTGTTTAGTCTTGCTTTGGTTATGTGGGCTCTTTTTTGTTCCATATGAATTTTACAATGTTTTTTTCTGATTCTGTGAAGAATGATGATGGTATTTTGATGGGAATTCCAATGAATTTATAAATTGCCTTTGGCAGTAAGGTCATTTTCACAATATTGATTCTATCCATCCATAAGCATGGGATGTGTTTCCACTCATTTGTATCACCTGTGATTTCTTTCAGCAGTGTTTTCTTTCTTTCTTGTTTTTTTTTGAGACAGAGTCTCGCTCTGTCACCCAGGCTGGAGTGCAGTGGCATGATCTCGGCTTACTGCAACCTCCGCCTCCCAGGTTCATGCCATTCTCCTGACTCAGACTCCTGGGTAGCTGGGACTACAGGCGCCCACCACCACGCCTGGCTAATTTTTTATATTTTTGGTAGAGATGGGGTTTCACTGTGTTAGCCAGGATGGTCTCGATCTCCTGACCTCATGATCCATCCACCTCAGCCTCCCAAAGTGCTGGGATTACAGGTGTGAGCCACCACGCCTGGCCTAGTGTTTTCTAGTTTTCCTTGTAGAGATATTTAGCCTCTTTGGTTAGGTATATTCCAACTTGTGCGTGTGTGTGTGTAGCTGTTGTAAAATGGGTTGAGTTCTTGATTTGATTCTCAGCTTGGTCACTGTTGGTGTGTAGCAGTGCTTCTGATTTGTGTACATTTATTTTGTATCCTGAAACTTTACTGAATTTAATTATCAGATCTAGGAACTTTTTGGATGAGTCTTTAGGGTTTTCAAGGTATACAATCAGCATCGGCAAACAGTGACAGTTTGACTTCCTCATTACCAATTTGGATGCCCTTTATTTCTTTCTCTTGTCTTATTGATCTGGCTAGGGCTTCCAGTAATATGTTTAATAGAAGTGGTGAAAGTGGCCATCCTTGTCTTGTTCCAGTTCTCATGGAGAATGCTTTTAACTTTTTCCCGTTCAGTATGTTGGCTGTCGGTTTGTCATAGATGGTTTTTATTACCTTAAGGTATGTCCTTTCTATGCCAATTTTGCTGAGGGTTTTAGTCACAAAAGGATACTGGATTTTGTCAAATGGTTTTTCTGCATCTATTGATATGATCATAAGATTTTTGTTTTTACTTCTGTTTATGTGCTGTATCACATTTATTGACTTGTATGTTAAACCAACCCTGGTATGAAACCCACTTGACCATGGTGTATTATTTTTTTGATAGGTTATCGAATTCAGTTAGCTAATATTTTGTTGAGGATTTTTGCATTTATGTTCATCAAAGATATTGGTATGGGATTTTCTTTTTTTATTATGTCCTTTCCTGGTTTTGGTATTAGGGTAATACTGGGGTAGCATGCTAAATTTTTATTTAATCTGTGTGAGCAGAAAACTTCCAGGTCAAATCAATAAAAGTCTAACCCAAATCATAAAAGCAGAGAATCATGGTCCCTCAATCAATTCTCAGACTTGAGCCAGTTTACAAACCCAGAATCCCTTGAATGAAGGGGAGGCTGGGTCTCCTCAAGGAAAAACCCTGGTACACTACTGAAAATGTATACTGGTGGGCTTTTTTTTTTTTAAGCTTTTAAACTTTTTATTTGCATATTTGAAAAATTGTGCATTCTGATCATTAAAATCATTTGAACAACAACAAAAAAATGGCACTCTGATTAAACTGAATTACAGCCTGCAGGACACCTTGGACCAGCTTGGTTTTACTCTAGATTTCACTGTCGTCCCACCCCTACTTCTTCCACCCCACTTCTTCCTTCACCAACATGCAAGTTCTTTCCTTCCCTGCCAGCCAGATAGACAGATGGGAGAGGCAGGCGCGGCCTTCGTTGTCAGTAGTTCTTTGATGTGAAAGGGGCAGCACAGTCATTTAAACTTGATCCAACTTCTTTGCATCTTACAAAGTTAAACAGGTAAAAGAAGTAAAATAAGAAGGCAATGCTTGTGGAATGTACAGTGCATATTGGCGGCACACGCCTCATTACGATTCGCCTGCTTGCTTCTCCTGTTCAATCGTTTCTTTGGAAGGTAGTGGATTTTTCTCTTGCATCTCTGTCTTCTTCAGTTTCGACTTATCGAATTTCTCGATCTCAGTCATATTGGGTTTGTCAGACATGGTTGCAGAGGAAAAGCAGAATGAGGCGCACGAAAACGAGCGAAGTCTGGTCTGCACAGTGGCCACTACCAAGTTGTCCGACAATGTATACTGTTAATCTTTGTCCCAGCCTTCTCCAAGGGGATCTGTGGCCTTTTACAGGGGTAACTGTGCATTGAGGGGAAAAATCAGATCTTTCAGGGAGTACTTGTTCTAAACTGACATTGATTCCAGGAGACCTGGAACATCACTATGGCTGTACACTCAGAGTAGGAGCTTATGGAGGTCAGGTTACCAATGGAGTTTTAGCTTAAGTCCAACTCACAGTGGGTTCACTGGGACCCTAAATGCATCCTGCAGTTATTTCCCCAGTTCCAAGGTGCATAATTGGAATTGACATACTTAGCAGCTGGCAGAATTCCCACAATGGTTCCCTTACTATGGAGAGTGGGATATTATGGTAGGAAAGGTCAAATGGAAGCCATTAGAGGCATTCTACTTAGGAAAATAGTAAATCAAATGCAATACTTCATTTCTGGGGGAATTGCAGAAATTAGTACCACCATAGAGTACTTGAAAGATGCAAAGGTGGTGATTCCTACCACATACCTACTCAACTCTCCTATTTGGCCTGTGTAGAAGACAGATAGATCTTGGAGAATGACAGTGGATTATTGTAAGCTTAATCAAGTGGTGACTCCAATTGTAGCTGCTGTACCAGATGTGGTTTCATTGCTTGAGCAAATTAACACATCTCCTGGTACCTGGTATGCAGCTATTGACCTGGCAAATGCCTTTTTCTGCATCCCTATCCATAAGGCCCATCAGAAGCAGTTGCTTTCAGCTGAAAAGGCCAGTAATACACCTTCACTGTTCTGCCTGTGAAGGGGTATATCAGCCCTCTAGCCCTATGTCATAACTTAGTTTGCAGATATCTTGATCAGTTGACAGAGGAAGAGAAGACTTGGGCCTGGTTTAGATAGTTCTTCATGATATGAAGGCTCCACCAGAAAGTGGACAGCTACAGCACTACAGCCCCTTTCTGGGACATCCCTAAAGAACCATGGTGAAGGAAAATCCTCCTGGTGGACAGAACACCAAGTAGTACACCTGGCTTTTCACTTTGCTTGAAAAGAGAAAGAACCAGACATGTAATTATAGACCAATTCATGGAACGTGGCCAGTGGATTGGCTACATAGTCAGGGATTTGGAAGGAACATGATTGGGAAACTGATGACAGAGAAATACGGGGAAGAGGTATGTGGATGGATATCTGAACTAGCAAAAACTGTGAAGATATTTGTGCCTCTAGATGCATCCATGTTGCAGCAAACCGTACCATTTTGTTCTTTTTTAATTGCTGTGTGGTATGGAATGGCCTTTTGCAGACACAGTTACAGTAGCAGGTAGATGACAGTACTTTGCAGGGCTGGGCAAGGTTCTTTGGAAGGCTGTTTCTGCTCTTAATCAGTGTCTAATATACAGTACTGTATCTCCCGTAATTATGATGTACAGGTCCAGGAATCAAGAGGTGGACATGGGAATGACACCACTTATCATTACCTGTAGTGACCCACAAGCAAAATTTTTGCTTCTTGTTCCTATGACTTTATGCTCTGCTGGCCTGGAGGTCTTAGTTCCAGAGGGAGAAATGCTTCCACCAGGAGACATAACAATGATTCCACTGAACTGGAAATTAAAACTGCCACCTGGCCACTTCGGGCCCTCATAACTCTGAGTCAACAGGCTAAGAAGAGAGTTGTGGTGTTAGCTGGGGTGACTGATCCAGACTACCAAGGGGAAATTGGATTAGTTCTCTACAAAGGAGGTAAGAAAGAGTAGGTTTAGAATACAAGGGATCCCTTAGGGCATCTTAGTGTTAGCATGCCTTCTGGCTGAGGTTAAGGGGAAACTGCAACAACCCAATTCAGGTAGGAGCACAAATGACCCACACCCTTCAAATAAATGTTTGGGTCACCATGCCAATTAAAGAACCACAACCAACTAAGGTGCTTTTTGAAGGCAAAGGGAATATAGAATGGGAGTAGAACATAGTTATAAATACCAGCTACGACCACAAGACCAGTTACAGAAACACAGATTATAATTGTCATGAGTATTTCCTCCCTATTTTGTTAAGAATACATTTGCGGCTATATATACACATGCAGATGGTCCTCGACTTGTGATGTTTGACAGTGATGTGAAAGCAATATGCAGTTAGTAGAAACAGTACTTCAAATTTTGAATTTTAATCTTTTTCCAGGCTAACGATATGCAGTATAGTACTCTCCTGCGATGCTCGACTATGGCAGCTCCCAGTCAGCCATGAGATCATGAGGGTAAACAACCAATATTTTATAGTAGACTGTGTTGACAACATTACTTGGATATTGTGTTTTGTGTTTTCACATCTCATTGTGTCTACAAAATGCCCAATTGTGTACACTTTTGTGTACAACACTTTATTATAAAACAGGCTTTGTGTTACATGATTTTGCCCAACTATAGGCTAGTGTAAGTGTTCTGAGCACATTTAAAGTAGGCTAGGCTAAGCTATGATTTTGCTAGATTCAGTGTATTAAATGTATTTTTGACCCATGATATTTTCAATGTACAATGGGTTTACCGGAGTGTAAACCCATGGTAAGTCAAGCAGTATCTGCACCAGTATAGACTCATCGTTTCTTATTTTATTCAATAACGTGTTACTATCATTAGTCTGATCCTCAAATTGTCACTAATTTGCCCAATGGAAGTCACTTTAAGCTGGTTTATATGTTCTTTTGACATGCCTTCAGTCATTCTTGAGCACTTCCTTGCTTTCTAGCTCAAAGGGGTGTTCCAGGTTCATCTTATCATTTTCTGTCCCAGCTCTGTAATCAGTCATTTCTCCAAGGACTTCTGGCTTCTTTTAGCCAAGAATGGTATTTAGAAACTGGGATCTGGTATGCTAAATGTGATTGTTGCTATTGGGATGTCATTAATCCCAGGCTATCTCAGCAGACAGAGCTAGGACATATATATACGTGTGTGTGTGTGTGTATACATCTATCTATCTAGCTATATTATTATTATCATTATTTATTTATTTATTTTTTAGATAGAGTCTGGCTCTGTCGTCCAGGCTGGAGTGCAGTGGCACGATCTCGGCTCACTGCAAGCTCCGCCTCCTGGGTTCACGCCATTCTCCTGCCTCAGCCTCCCCATCAGCTGGGACTACAGGTGCCCCCCCACCATGCCTGGCTAATTTTTTTGTATTTTTAGTAGAGACAGAGTTTCACTGTGTTAGCCAGGATGGTCTCGACCTCCTGACCTTGTGATCTGGCCGCCTCGGCCTCCCAAAGTGCTGGGATTACAGGCGTGAGCCACTGCGCCTGACCTACATCTATATTTTTATATTTAAAATTACAAGTTCTAATTGGACCTCTGACTCCAATCGGATACCATAAGGTTTATTTTATTATTTTTCCCTTACCATATTGGTAACTCCCTTCTCTGACAGTGAGAAACATGACTTCAGTTATCCTTAATTATTTTATTACACCCCTCCCTCTATGTAGTTAATCTATGTCTTTACCATCCCTTCCCCTATGAAGATATCTCCTAACCCCACTTTGGCTTTGACACCTGATTGCCAGGCCACTACTCGGCATGGATGCCTTCCTCACCCTTCTTGGCTACTGGTGTGCCATACCAGGATACTGTTTTTGGTGAGGATTCTCATTCTGTCCTACTCAGTCTGTGATGTTGTACACCACCCATCCCCACCCCACCTCACCTCCACTGTGTGGATATCCTCTTGACTGCACTGCGGGTTTTGATACCCCATGCCAGGCCATCTCTCTCCAGGGATGCCCTCCTTACCTTGCTCTTCCTCAGGCTCTGACCCCTCAATGACAGGCTGCCCCTCTTCCCACATGGATGCTTTTCTTACACTGTTTGGGCTCTGATGCCCCACACCAGGGAGCCTCTCACCTGGGCTCTTACACCCTGCACCAGGAAGTCTCTCCCCTTCATGGATGGGTATCCATGGATGGGAGAGTGAGAAGAGTTTCTCACTCTCCTTGGACTCTGTCACCCCATTCCAGGTCTTACCCTTGTATGTATGCCTTCTTCACCCTGCTCAGGTTCTGACACCCTGCTTTAGACTGCCACCTCATTTCACTGAGGTACTCTCCACCTGGCACAGAATCTGTTGCCCTGTATGAGTCTGCCTGCCTTCACAGACACCCTTCTCATTCCACTTGGACTCTGATACTGCATGCCCGGTTGCATCTCTGTGTGAATGCCTTCCTCACTCTGCTCAGCGCTGACTTTGCATGCTGGGTTGTGCTCCACTATGGACACTCTTTTAACCTCACTTAGGCTTTGAAATACCCTGTTCTGGGTTGGGAACATCACACCCCGGGGCCTGTCAGAGGGTGGGGGATGGGGAGGGATAGCATTAGGAGAAATACCTAATGTAAATGACAAGTTAATGGGTGCGGCACACCAACATGGCACATGTATAACTATGTAACGAAACTGCACGTTGTGCACATGTACCCTAGAACTTAAAGTATAATTTTTAAAAAAGAGAGAGAGAAAAAAAAAAGAAGCACCCCGTTCCATTCTTGAAGGATGCCTTCCTCACTCTGCTTGGGCTCTGATTCTCCACATCAGGCATTCCCCTTTAACCCATGTGGATGCTTTCCTCACCATCTTCAGACTCTAAAGCCACCTCTTCTTAGGGATGTCCTTCTCCCTCTGCTCTGGCTGTGACTCCTCATGCTGGACTGTCCAGTAGTGTAGACACTCTCCTAATCCTACTTGAGTGCTATAACCCCAAGCCATGCGACCCCTCTTCACGAAGTTCCTACTTTCCCTGTTTGGGCTTCGCCACTCCATTCAGGCTGTTCCTATGTGTGATGCCCTCCATACATGCATGGGTGCCCTCATACTCTGCTTAAGCTCCATAACCCTATACAACACCTTTCTACTCTACTCAGACTTAACATTCTGCCCTTCAGATGCCTCCATTGCTCTGCCTCCACCTAATGGCTTTCAGACGAAATTTCCCAGGAATGAGAGGAAAGAGGAAAGACATTGAT